ACCTCCACCTCTGGGTTCAAGTGATTCTCCTGCCTCAGCCTCCCGAGTAGCTGGAATTACAGGCATGTACCACTACACCCAGCTAATTTGTATTTTTAATAGAGATGGGGTTTCTCCATGTTGGTTAGGCTGGTCTCAAACTCCCAACCTCTGGTGATCTGCCCTCCTCAGCCTACCAAAGTGTTGGGATTACAGGTGTGAGCCACCTCGCCTGGCCCTTCTTTAGCTATTTCTTAAGAATACATTTCTGGAAGTGAAGTTTTGGGTAAAGAATTTGCCCCAAATCCCTGACCCTGTGATACTTGCACTGAGGGGATAATACAGTGTTTAGAAGACATAGTTGTTACCTTAAAGACAAAATATGCTTAGGTATAAGGCAGCCAGCAGCCAGCAACAAAGGCCAGTAGGCAGTCTAGGGGACCTACTTTAAGGAACTCATAGGAAAGTAGTTATAAGCAATACTGTTGAATCATGATCAAGCGTTTGGAGGCAAATGGAATTTATTCTGTAAGGTTTATACCTTATAGTTTTTATTCTACTAATGTTAGTTGCAAAGTGAACCTAATAGGATCAGGTGATTCAGCAGTTACCTGGAGGGTACCATGTCTAAGACAGGTTCAGATACAAAATAAATCCATCAGTCAACATAAGAAAAGCAAGATCAAAAGCTCATTAATGGAGGGGGAACACAAAAATAATAAAACCTCCAAAAAATAAAAATGAAAAAAAAGGACGAAATTCCCCAAGTTATGCCATGGATATATTAATATTATTCCATTAATATTATTAATATTTCATTAATATATCCATGGCATAACTTGGGGAATTTCATTTATTTTTTTTTTCTAGGCAAGACATAGGCATATGTAGAAATTATTGAGTTTGTGTAATACATGGCCATGGTTACAATTATGTGGATTACCTGAAGGAAAAACATTATGATCATAATGAAAATATGTATGTTGTTAATATATATGGAGATATAATCTTATTTTTTATTTTTTTGTTTCTTTCTTGAGATGTATAACTTCCTAAACATTTTTTCATCTATTGATGTCCAATTGTCAGTCTTTTTGTATTGATATATATGTATTTATAAATGTAATCATACCATAAATCTCATAACCTACTTTTTCTACTGAGTGTATCTTGATTATTTCCCTAAGTCAGCATGTACTCACTGCATGATATTTCATATCATGAATATTCTGATAGATGCATTAGATAGTCAACTTTTTGGGTTCCCAATGAATTCCGTATACATCCTGTCCAACTCCCATGTCTTGACCAACTTCCTTCAGTCCTGAGCCCATGAAGGACATTGTAGCTTGGACCATGACAGGTATTCCTGAGAGGTAGGAATGGAAGGAGGATGATCTGATCTCCTGGGCAGTACTGAATCATTGAATCCCAGGTCCAGAGTCACATCCTCAGAACCAGACACTGCCAGAAATCTCCCTGCTAAAGAACTTTGGGGTTTAGGGTGAAAGTTTGGATTCCATAAATGGCATGTAGGGTGTGTAGTAGAAGTAGGCACGGAGAAGATAAGATCTTCCGTTAGTGTCAGTTAGGATGACATCACTGAGGCACATCTGGTTTAATACTTCGTTTTCCCTCCCCAGTTCTGGCTTTTCTGGATTCTGTGCTTCGCCAGTAGAGGAATTCCATGGAGCATTAATTAATTCTTGCAATTCCAGAACCATGACTGATGTAAGTTGGTATTTTTATCTCCATGAAATACTGTGATTTTTAGGGCGTGTGAATCTTTTCCTTAATTTTCCTAAAGCCTTCTCTCTGACAGAACTCCATCCCTGAACCTGCTCAGTTCTTCCTACTCCAGTGGAGGATGGTGCCAAATAGCCTAGTGTCCTCCCCTGGTGCCCCTCCCCTTTCTAATCAATGTCATATTCATTGAACATATTATTCAACATCTCTTGTGTTCCCAGTCTTTCAGTGAGAGCAGTGATAGAGCAGTGGAGTCTTTTGAGGGGAATATTTAAGCTTCTGTTAAGGATAACTCAAAGAAATATAGTTAACCACACACTTACTTATATACAAGGAAAACCTATAGTGCATTGATTTCCTCTGTCAAAGGTACCAATAGGATTCATGTAAAGGGAAGAGAATGAAAGACTGCAAGGATTTTGAAAACAGCAGTATTTTTAAATTTAGGCTAAAATGCTGATTTTAGAGGGTGGCTACCAAAGAAGCCAGTCAAGACACTCTGCCCTTAGACAGTTGGATGGTCACCCAGAAGAACGATGTTAGTTGTTTGTGCATTCTCTGGGAGCACTTTCATATTTAACCGTCTTGGCTGTCTTGGGTGATGCCTTTTGGTATCACCTCTGTTTGGCCACATCTGCATCATTTCCATCACCTGAGTTTCTCATTCCTGTGTCAGGTCTGTAGTGTGTTTAGGTAGTGATAAGGATCCCATTGGACCACATGCAAAAACTTGGAACTTCTCTATAGACCCAAGTTTTCCACAGAGATAAGATGCACTTTGGGGTTGCTTGGTCTCAATCTTAGTTTATCTAAGGTTGCATTTGTTGGGAGGCTCTTGAGATTAGAGAGAGGGGAGTGAGTGGTTCTTCCCAGAAATTACCTGAGAGATGAAGACCAGTAGTCTTTGGAGTTACCAAAGGACTCTACCACCAGTGGATTTTGAACCAGTTGACTTTGAAGTCATTTTGTCATCAACCAGGATGTGTAGGTCATGAGTGACATTTGTGTCACGTGCAACATCCTATATCAGTGCTCTCTAACTCAGGAACAAGGAAAGTAGTAAGCGAGGGGTAGTTGACAGTAACAGGTAAGGTGATGCCTAAGGTCTAGATGATAATAAATTTCCACAGTTAACAAAATCTACGGAAGTTTTGTTCAGCCTAAATGTACAGATATAATTGAGTGATTAATCTCATATATCCAGAGGATAAAATGAATTGCAGCAAATAAAAAATATTGTTTAAATTTATCATAAGAAAAAATGTTTATGATGTAATCTATCAGTGATGTATTTGAGTCTTGGTGATAGTCCCTAAATAAATGGGAATCATTTTTTTTTTTTTTTTTTTTGAGACGGAGTTTCCCTCTTGTTACCCAGGCTGGAGTGCAATGGCGTGATCTCGGCTCACCGCAACCTCCGCCTCCCGGGTTCAGGCAATTCTCCTGCCCCAGCCTCCCGAGTTGCTGGGATTACAGGCACGCGCCATCATGCCCAGCTAATTTTTTTTTGTATTTTTAGTAGAGACTGGGTTTCACCATGTTGACTAGGATGGTCTTGATCTCTTGACCTCGTGATCCACCTGCCTCGGCCTCCCACAGTGCTGGGATTACAGGCTTGAGCCACTGCCCCCGGCCTGGGAATCATTTTTATAAAATAAAGACATAGTACAAAAACTTTTCATGTTTCCCCTATTTATTTATTTATTTATTTTTGGAGACAGAGTCTTGCTCTGTTACCCATGCTGGAGTGCAACTTCTGTCTTCCGGGTTCAAATGATTCTCTGCCTCAGCCTCCCAAGTAGCTGGGATTATAGGCATCTGCCACTACACCTGGCTAATTTTTGTGTTGTTAGTAGAGACGGGATTCCACCATTTTGACCAGGCTGGTCTCAAACTCCTGACCTCAAGTGATTCACTTGCCTCAGCCTCCCAAAATGCTTGGGATTACAGGCATGAATCATTGTACCTGGCCTTGTTTTCTTATTAAAGGGGAAAGATGGTGAGCAATTCACTTTCACAAAGAATTTTTGAGGAAGGCACATAGCACTTTGTAAATGCACATGATGTACACACACACACACACACACACACATACACACATACACACACACTCTTTTAACAGTTCTGGATAGCTGAGTTACCTTATAGTATCTTGGAAGTTCTTCTGCTATAACAAGATTCTTCTAGAACATGTTGGCATCCTGCTTTAGTCACACTGATTTTCTTGCTTTTTCCTACTTATATCAGAGGCTTTCAGCCTATTTGATTGCTGTATTTCTCCCCTTCTTTGTATTTTATCCTTCATACCTTCTTTTTTCTTCTTGGTAATGTTTTCTTGAATTTCACAAGTAATACATGGGTTTTTGGTTTTAGGGGTTGGTGACATTCAGGGATGTGGCCATCGACTTCTCTCAGGAGGAGTGGGAATGCCTGGACCCTGCTCAGAGGGACTTGTACGTGGATGTGATGTTGGAGAACTATAGTAATTTGGTGTCACTGGGTAAGGTCATCTGCCTGAAATAATTTAGAATCTCCTCTTTGCAACATCAGTTTTTCTGCACTGAAAATTACAGGGCTAACTTTGAAGAAACCAGGTGAATTTCTTTTCCCACTTCCCAAGGGCATGTTTTTATACTTGCTGCATTAGAAATTGGTTCATTAAGCACATTGCTCTTCTCCATTCCTCAGTGAGCTTTATGCCTTTCACGGGCCCTCCCTGCAATCACCTCTCTCCTTTAATAGCCAAGGGGCTGGATTTGCATTATAGGGCATTTATTTCATAACCATTGTCAAAGAAACCAGATTTTATAAATTCTGCAAATACTATAATGAATGTCTACTCCTGGCCAGCATTGTGCTGAGCACTATCAATTGAATCATGAACAAGATTTGATAACTTGTACATTTTCAGCAGTTTACTTTGTAGTAAAGGAGAAACATCAAATAAGTAAATCAATAAATAAATAGTATGTAATGAACCAAATTCTTTGGAAAAAATAAACACCATAAGGGAATAGAAATGATGGGGACTGACAGGGCTAATTTAGATAAGATGGTCAGGGAGCGCTTTCTTGAATAGAGATGTCGAGCCTGGGATCAATCTATGTGAATATCTGGGGGAGGAACAGATGAATCACAGTGAACAGCAAATGCAAAGGCCCTGTTGTTGGAAAGGAACTTTACTGGAACTTTATCAGAACTCTAGGGTAGAGTTATTAAAGGAACATGTGCTAAGAAATTAGGCCAGGGAGATAGGAAGGGGCCAGATAATATATTGTTTTGTTGTTCTTGTATGTGGAATTTGGATTGTTTAGTCTCTTTCAGTCTGAAACAGTTCACGTCTTTCCTTGATTTGCATATATGTCTGTGATGCTTTTGAAGATTACAGGCCAGTTATTTTGTACAGTGTTCCTCAATTTGGATTTGTCTGTTCTTTCTTCATGATTAGATTTAGAGTACCGATCTTTGGCAGGATTATCACAGAATTGAGCTGCGTTCTTCTTGCATTTTGTTGGGTAGTGTGAATGATTTGTAATTACTCATGTTATTCACTCTGAGTACTTGATTAAAGTGGTGTCTGCTGGCTTCCTCCTTGTGCAGTTACTCTTTTATCCTTCAATAAGTATTTTGTGGGTAGAAACTTCGAAACTATTAAATATTGTGGAACTGGGCACAGTGGTGGCTCACACCTGTAATCCCAGCACTTTGGGAGGCTGAGGCAGGTGGATCGCTGGAGTCCAGGAGTTCGAGCCCAGCATGGGCAACATAGCAAAACCTCATCTCTACAAAAAAAGTAGCTGGGTGTGGTGGTGCGTGCCTGTAGTTCTAGCAACTCAGGAGGCCGAGCTGGGTGGATTGCTTGAGTCTGAGAGGTTGAGGCTGCAGTGAGCTGAGATTGCGCCACAGCACTCCAGCCTGGGCAACAGAGCAATACCCTGTCTTAATAAATAAATAAATAAATAAATAATTGTGTTTACCTCTCAAACTTCTCATTTGTTCATATGTTGGATTTCTAGTCAATGGGCCGTATTTTATTTTTTTCTGTTATTTATTTTGAAACTCAAAGTGTTGGAGCTTGTCCCAGATTTGGTCAGTGGGAATCCTTTCATGATAGTTTCTATGGCTTTTTGGCACATCTCCATCATTCTTTGAGTATGTCCTGATTTTCTGATAAACAAGGTGTTACAGGTTCATCTTCTATGAAATTTTCCTGCTGTAGTTTTACAGTCAGCTGTAGCTTTGAAGTGCCTGGTTATTTTAACACAGATTTATAGTTATTATTTTATGCATTTGTCTTTTAAATCAACAAACCAAAAGTACAATAATACTGACTTTTATATTTATATTCATGTAGTTACCTTTACCAATGTTCTTTATTTCTTCTTATGGCTTTCAGTTACTTTTTAGTGTCTTCACTTTAGCCTGAAACAGTCCCTCGAACATTTCTTCTAGAGTAGGTCTACTGGTAATCATCTCCTTCAGCTTTTGTTTTTTCTGGAAATTTCTTAATTTCACCTTTATTCTTAAAGGACAGTTTTTGCAAGTATAGAATTCTTGGTTGACATTTTTTTTTTCTTTTGGGATTTTTCAATATACCATCCTACTACTTTCTTTCTGTTCTCCATGGTTTCTGATGAAAAATTAGCTGTTAATCTTGTTAAGGATTGTTTTATGCGGTAGGCTGCTGCTTTCTTCCTGTGTTCTGGTCTTTTTGTCTTTGGGTTTCCATAATTTGACTATAATACATCTAGATATGAATCTCTTTGGGTTTTTCCTCTCTGAGGTTGTTCAGCCTCCTAGATGTGTATATTCCTATCTTTCGTCAGATTTTCAAAGTTTTCAGACATTCTGTCTGCAAATTTTTTTCTACACTTTTATCCCTCTTGTTTTTCTGTGATTCTTATGATGTATATGTTGGTGTGCTTGATGATATCCCATCAATCCCTTAGGGTTTCTTCATTGTTCATTATTCCTTTTTCTTGTTGCTCCTCTAGTGCAATAATTTCAAACAACTCATTTTCAAGTTCACTGAGTCTTGCTTCTGCTGAATCCACTATTGAAATTTTCATTTCAGTTACTTTACTCCAGAATTTCTGTTTTGTTCCTTTTTTATAATTTCTATCATTTTATTGATATTTTCATTTTGTTCATACATTGTTTTCCTGATTTCCTTTAGCTCTTGGTCCATGGTTTCCTTTAGCTCATTGAGGATATTTGGATAGTTCACTTAATGTCTGGGCTCCTCAGGAATGGTTTCTGTCAGATTCTTTTTTTCTTGTGAATGGGCCCCCTGTTTTCCTGTTTCATTGTATGCTTTGTAATTTTTTGTTAAAACTGGACATTTTGAGTATTATAACATGATACCTCTGGAGATTCAATTTTTCCATTTCTCAGGCATGGCTGATTTCTGCTTGTTGAGGGCTAGAGCTGTCAGACTTTTTCAAACTCTTTTTGTAAATTGTATAGTCCTTATTGTATGTGGTCACTGAAGTTTCTGTTTCATCATCTCTGCAGTCAGTTAGTACCAAAGATTTACTTAAATATCTGGCTGTAAAAAAGGGAAGAAAAAAAAGGTCTATTGGCCCTTTAAATCTTCCAATAAATGTTTCTGGGGAAAGCTGCTGTGGCTGATGGGGCTAAAATCAAGGCAATCATCTGTGCTGGTTCCTCAAAGAAGTACAAAACCCCCCCAAAGTGCACAGCTGTGAATTTTTTTGGAAGACAAGGTCACACTGCCAACCCACGTCCCAGCCGGCTGTTCCAGTAATACAGGCTGCTCTCCCCACAGCTGTGGTGGGGCTGAGGAGTGAGGGATGTGATTAGTTGGTACACAACATTCCAGGCACATAGGCCTCTCATCCCATAGCATTGGCTGGACTGAGAAATGGGGGATGGTGGCTTGCTTGCACAAGCCACTCACTCACCTAAGAATAGTAGCCTCTTTATTCATCCAGCACTCCCCTGGTTGTTATGGAAGTATCTGATCAGGTTCCAGAGTTAAGAGTTTGTTGATGCCAATCTCTCTTTCCAGTTCCATTGTCGCTTTGGTGGAGCTACCAGCCCTTAGAGCTTCCTACTTCACCATTTTGTGTGACATCAGTCCTACATATTAATTTAATGTAGGACTGATGTCCATATTTAATGTAAATATGGTTGGGTTTCAGTTTACCATCTTGCTATTTTTCGTTTCACTAATTCTTTCTTTTGTTTCCACCTTCTTGGACTAATCAAGTATTTTTTAGTATTCCATTTTATCTCATCTGTTATCTTTTGCTGTATTATTTGTATTTATTTTGGGGATTGCAATATGCATCCTTAATTTAGCACAGTCGCATGAAATTAATAACATATTACTTTGTTGTAGAATGTAAGGATTTTACTAATCTGTAAGCTTCATTCAGCCTGAAAAACTTCCTTGAGCATTTCTTGTGTCATATGGCTACTGGCAGCTAATTT